AAAAAAAAAAAACCGCATATGTGCCACATCACTAATTTGCGCATGGCGTAGCTAGGCCCTGTATACACACTCACCCCTTACACCATAGCTACGACGAGAAGGAGGAGGGGGAGTAGGAGGAGAAGTAGAGGAGGACGAGATAGGAGGCAGAGTTCATGACGACTAGAAGCACAACCGTTTTTTTTTTTTTTTTTTCCCGGACAATATAGGGGATCCGGATCGGTCCAGATATTCCGGAATATTTCGGTTTCCCGGAAGTCCGGAAGGGCCCAGGAGGTCCGGGGCCCGGGGTCCGGATTTGGTCTGGTGTCCGGTCCGGCGTAGCTATGGCTAAAACCCAAAACCCTGAATTACTGGTAGCGTGTTTGGAAGTATCGTTTAACCGTAACCTTGAGAAGTGCATCTGAAGCGAAAAACTCTAAACTCTAGAGATCTGGGAGGCAGATGACCCGTTGACCGAACTATTATCGGGAGCTTGGACCGTGTATCTTGATGGGGAGTAGTGTGATGGGTAATCGGTGTTAGGATTTAGTGTGGTGTGAATGACGTGGGTGTGTTGGGTTTCTGGTGTGGGCATGAGACCTGGAGGATGGGAGGGTATTTCGATTGATGAGAGTGCATTTGGGTGATGTTTGATGGTGAGCGGTGCGGTGGTAGGTGATTAGGGTGGGTTGATGGAAAAGTTCATAGAGCGGTATCTGTTCCATTTAGTGCGATGGGGGATAGGTTGTTTGTTACTGTGGGTTGTGTTGGAGTGGTGGGATTTTGGGTATTTGATGTGGGCATAACTAACCAGTCTTGTAAGTGCAATCTTTCTCTTTCAACCGTTCCTAGTTTCCCGTTGCCCAGAATCAGGGAGATGAATTTATTAATGATCTCTTGTTTTTTATCTGGGGCATTTTGTAGGGATTGGAGTTTCATGTATGTTCTGTTCCATTGTGCTTGTATTTCTGTTTCGACCGTCTGTTTAATGGCTATGAGGGGGGTTGTAGGGGTATTACTAAAAACCTCGAAGGTTGTTGTGCATCTCCTTTTCCAGATCGCCCAGAGGGTCGATTTTTTGATGAGTGAGAAGAAACGACGCTCAAAACCTTTGAGGGGCGGGTTTTTATCCACCTCTAGGAATAGGGTTCAGACTCACCAACGCCCCCGCCACATTCCAGTCCACCATGAATCACATCTTCCGCGACCTCCTCCAAGTCTGTGTCGTCGTCTACCTTGATGATATCCTTGTCTACAGCCCCACCTTTGAGTCTCACCTTCAGCACCTTCGCCAAGTCCTCTTTATCCTCAGAGAGCAAAAATTTTACGCCAAGCTCAGCAAATGCACCTTTGTTGTCTCTAGTGTAGAATACCTTGGCCACATCGTCTCTGTTGAAGGAATCCGCATGGACCCCTCGAAGGTCACCGCCCTCATTGAGTACCCCCCGCCCAAGACCCTACTCCAACTACGCTCATTCCTCGACCTTGCCAACTATTACCGCCCCTTCATCCGCAACTTCTTCGACATCTCTTACCCACTCCACAAACTCACACACAAGGACGAGCCCTTCAATTGGAACGACCACCGCCAAATACCCTTCGACTTCCTCAAACAAACCATCACCACGGTCCCCATCCTCAAGATCGCTGACCCCTCTCGGCATTTCTACGTTACCACTAACGCATCCGGCTTCGCCATTGGACCCGTCCTCTCGCAACATTTTCCTCACAACACCTCCGAAACCCCCTCCATCAAAGACTCCCCCACCCACCCCGAGGCTCCACCCGGCGAATACCCCATCGCCTTCGCAAGCAAGAAACTCCTTCCCGCGGAGATGAAYTACCCCTCCAACGAGAATGAACTCCTCGCCGTGATTCACGCCCTCAAGTCTGGCGCCTGTACCTCGACGGACAATACTTCACCATTCGCACTGACAACACTGCCGTCTCCTCTATGCTCACTAAGAAAGACATCACCCCAC